TACCATAGGGATTTGTATTGCATACCTTAGCATCATGGTACTTAACTTTTAGGCAATTAAAAAAAAAATCACAGGAACAACACTGTCATCCACTAAGAACATGATCCACGAAAGCCAGCACGTTAAGCAGGGAGCCTCTAGCCAAAGGGAGATGTTAAGGAGATGGGTGTGTACACTAACCCATCACCTTCTTTCAGGCTATGTTTACACTACAGGGTTTTTGCGCAAAAACCCATGGAGCATCCACACCTCAAGAACATTTTTGCGCAAGAAAATTTACAGTAAAACGGCAGAACAGAGGGCTTTTTGAGGTGTAGGTATAACTCTTTCTATGAGGAATAACTCCTTTTTGTGCAAGAGTTCTTGCACAAAAAGGTGTGTGGAGACACTCAACAGGACTTTCTTGTGCAAAAAGAGCCTATCAGAAAAAGCACAGGTACGCTGATGGCTATTCTATGAATGGCAATCCGAATGTGCAAAAAGAGCCTATCAGAAAAAGCACAGGTACTCTGATGGCTATTCTGTGATGGCAATCCGAACTTTCTTGTGCAAGAGTGTCCATGCAGTGCGGACGCTCTCTTGCGCAAAAGCACATCGCTTTTGTTATGCGCTTTTAAGGTATGGATGCGCTTTTGCGCAAGAAGATTTTGCAGAAGATCTCTTCCGCAAAAAGCTTCTTGAGCAAAAACCCTGCAGTGTAGACAAAGCCTCAGAAAAAGCCACCTATGTCTGGGCTGTAGGGAGACAACCAGCTCTTAATGATCAAGAAATGGGAATCTGCCATTTGGTGTCAGGTAGCTTAAATGCCTAAGGTGTAGTTTATGGGACTGAGTTAAGCACTCCACCACACAAAATGGTTGAAGAAAGTGGCGTTGCTACCCACCTGATCACTTTTAGCCCAGTGGTTAGAGTCCTCACCTGGGAGGTGAAAGACTCTGGGTCCAGTCCTCCCTGTTTCAACCACTCGTTCATTATTTATCCACAGATCAACAGCTTGAAGAGAAGAGGCTGAAGGAGGCCCACATCACACTATTCCATAACCCTCCTCTGAGGTTAAAGCACTCTCCTCTGAGTTGAGAGATCCCAAGTCAGATCCTTTTTCCCCCTCTGGCAGAGAGGAAAATTGACTCTGGGTTTCCCATGTTCCAGGGGAGTGCACTAAGCATAGGGCTAAGTTTTAAAGTGTATACTACCAACATGCTCTCCATTTTGAAAGGGACCTAATACTCCCACTACTTCTGTAGTTTGCTCAGTAGGCTTGCTCAGAGGCAGTCTATCAGATAAGGCCTCCAGTGAATGACTTTAGTGGCCAACTACCTGTTTTTTCCCTGGTTTGTGGTGGTTATGGAGGAGATGGGCATCCAGCTGCCAAGAGGGAGGCACTAGTGTGCATTCCTAGAGTCAGGAACTTAGGGCACCTAGGGAAATTCTATTCTAAAGTGTGTTTAGGCTTCCATAATGGAGGTAAAACGGACCTTCATGGATTTTAACTCAAGGGACTTCCCTAAAGCCACAAGACGTTCACTTTATTCTATAATCATACAGGGTCAAATTCTCTGCTGAGGAAATAGATGCAGTTCCCCAGACTTTAAAGGTATTACACTTATTTACATCAGGATAGAACTGGCCCATAATATTTATGGAATAAGGACTGTAGCATTTAGCCCGAAACAGTAACTTACAAAATATATTGGTACTTAACTACTCATATCTTTCTTGTCATCAGAGTGATCATATAATCAAAATTAGTACGGCCATTTGGATACAAATATCAGTTATTAATCACATTTTCTTCAAGCTATATATCCGTTTGGAACGCAAGATGCAATTTCACCAATTTTTTGTTCACACGCTTTTATAAGTATAAACTCAAGCACACTTTGCTTGAATCATAAAATGTAGGAATGATGATGGTAGCTGAAGGAAGTACATGGACAGCCTATCAAGGTAAACTTTAAAAAAGGGAGAGAGAGAGAGAGAGAGAGAACCTTGCAGAAACTAATTTATCCAAAACAAGCTTGACAGAATTTTCCTTCATGGAAACACTTCTTTAAAAATTCCAAGCAGGGTAATTTATAACCCAGCCTTGGACAAAGCACAAATAAAAAGCAACTGTAATCCCAAAATTATAAACTAATGTCAATTTAAAATGAGAGAATTAAAATAAATTATAATGATGCTGACATTAGGGCTAACATGGCTTTGAAATATGTTTGCTTTTTTATTATTCTTGTTCTAATTTTCAAAACATTTTTTAAATGTTTTAAAATACAGTCATCATTTTTGTTGCTGTTTAAGTTGCTATCACAAGCTATCATTGCCTTGAATTATTCTAAAGTGTGTTTAGGCTTCCATAATGGAGGTAAAACGGACCTTCATGGATTTTAACTCAAGGGACTTCTGTTTGGAGAAATTCCAAATGGAATGATATTGTCTCTTCAACAGAGCTTAAGAACATCTCACAGGTTAAGGATGAATTTAAATCTCTGAAATCAAAACAGAGCATGTCAAAAGTCTTTTATGTGTGATATATGGTGAATTCTATACACAAACTACTAAAATAAAAGGTGCAAACAGGTGGGGCCACAATTTCACATCACAAATGAAACCATTTCAATGCTGGGGGGGCAGAATAGCTCAGTGGTTTGAGCATTGGTCTGCTAAACCCAGGTTTGTGAGTTTAATCCTTGAGAAGGCTGTTTGGGGATCTGGGGCAAAATCCATCAGTGGTGGTACTTGGTCCTGCTGTGAAGGCAGGGGACTGGACTTGATGACTTTTCAAGGTCCCTTCCAGCTCTAGGGGATAAGCATCTCCATTAATTAGAAACCATAAATAACAAATAAGGGAATGGAAAAAGGGTCTTTTTCCATCTCTTCTCCCCAATTTACATTGTGGGATATATTTTATTTTGTCCACCATCCATGTAGGCATCAAAAAAGAGAAGAAAATTGCTCCAAAAGTAGCACCACTACAAACATGGGCCAATGTAGACTTGTTCCTATTTACACCAGTATGGGAAACTGCTGGAATCCATCTGGACCTGTTCCTTACCAAAGTTGAGAAGAAGAGAGAGAAAGGGAAAGCCGTAGCAACAATGGATATACTACCTCCACCGGGCTCCTTCAGCACAAACCCTGCACAACTTATTCCATCTACAAGGTTGAATATGTTAGTCCAGAAAATGAAGCCTGCTTCTTTTCCCTTCCAACCTCACTACTAACTTGTAAAGTCCTGGCTGATTTGGAGCAGCTCATTGGACTAAGCATCCCAGCATGCACAGAGGGACTGATCCACCTCTCCCTGAAGTCAATGGAAAGAAAACGAGTGCTTGATCTTATCTTTAAATAGTGCTCCAAGAAAGCGAAGTGCTTCCAGGAATTAACATTAGAAAACGAGTGCTTGATCTTATCTTTAAATATTGCTACAAGAAAGAGAAGTAACTTAAAACATAATGGTATTACCAAAGTATTTGTATGAAGCAGAATTTTTTAAACATTCACCACTTTGTCATCTTAGTACTATTTATTTTAAACATACCAGAACCAGGCCCGAATGTGGAGGGCTGCAAGCTGTGGGAGGGGCTGGTGGCTGTCCCCACCCCTGTGCAGCCCAGCTCCACCTCCGGCCTTGCTCCTGGATGCGGAAGGGAGAATTAGCCCCAGCTTTCCCTGGCTGGCCGAAGCATTGGGGAGGGAGGCTGGGGCAGCGTGCCACCCTGCTTTCCCTCGGCCAGCTGGAGCACCAGGGAAGAGCAGTGTCCCTTTCTGCGCGCCTCTCTGTTTTCCCTAGTTCGGTGGGAATCAGCCCCATGGTAGACCATAAAGGACTGTGGGGGGGATGTTCATACCCTTTGCGCACACCCTCAATGTATGGGCCTGAGAACAGATACTACACAGGAGGTACTAGTTACATGCCCAACTCCATGTGCAAGATTCAGCTGTTTTGAGTTTTTTCACACACACACACAAATCACATACAAGTAAATACATACGAATTATTTCAAACACATACAGCAAATGTATTTTCTCTTTTCAGAACTGAAAGGTCAAAATATCTTTTTTCACAAACTTGCCAAAATATTTACCGAGGTGCAAAGATCAAACATGGAAAATGTATGCCCCAAAGGTGACTTTTTTGAAAATGCTTTGAAAACGTTGTGTTGGCAAGGAAATGGTACATTCCTTTTTAAAATACAAAAGGAATACAGACCACAGTTCTTGGGAATACTTATATCTGTTTCTCTTTAGTGATGGGCCTGGGCTACAAAGTTTACATCTGGATCAGAATTTGTTTGGGTTGTTCCTATTCAAGGGGTGTAGTTCAGTAGCCATTTCTTATTTCAAAATACATATTCATTGAATGGATCTATCCTCTTTTAGAATGATAAGCATGTGAAGACTCTTTAAATCAAGGATTCAATGTAACTCAAAGTAAGCAGGATTTAGAGACAGCACCATTATCAGAATACAATATAAATACATTCTAATTATCAAAAAAATTTCTCAACAGTTTGTTTAATTTAACGTTTCATTTAATAATTGTTAAATTAACCATTTTCTTTTTAATTATAGATCTCAATTTGTAACTCCAAAGCTTCCTAATTTTCAGTGCCTTACAGTTTTCTTTACACTTGTAAATTTATACTGTTTACAAGGTAGCATGACAAAAATCAAACAGGACAGCAGATACCACTTTCAAATACTGAAGCCAATTCTTTCAATTGAATTCTGTAGGATAGACATCTTCCAAACTGACTGGTAATTATTCATTTTTGTTTTAATTTAGATACTTTTAAAAACATTTTTAGTGATTTACTCTTCTGTGTGATTCAACACAGAAATTAGGAACCCGTTTCTGCTGTTATTGTCTATATTCTGTGTCCTAGGATATTTTTATATTATGCTAGAGAATTCCTTTACACTTGACATTGTTAGTTACCTTGCAAGACCTTCTTTTCTTTCTACTTACTATTATTAGTTAGGTATTTCAATGTACTTACAAAAGGACTCATCCCTTGCAAGCTGGTGGAAACGGTGGCAGACTTGGGCAACCCGAGAAAGCTCTTTATGGGAAAACAAAGAGAAGATGCATAGCCACAGCTCATCCGGAAGAAGGAGCCACACTGAGAGGTCACTCTCACCTTTACCATGCTGCAAATAAATCAAAGCAACATTCAATTATAAGGAATAATAAACAAGTATATTGCATTCTCTGGACAACAAGTTCTCATCCAGGCCAAGCAGTAAAATAAACAAATCAGATTCAGGTACCAAAGAAAAGACATTTTGCTCCGTTTCACTCACAAACAAAGCGAGAAGAGCTTTCAATGCAAGGTGACAGTCTGTTTCCCCACTTCCATTTCCAAATGAAGGCATCAGAACCATGTATTTGCTTAATTTTAAGCACCTGAGTTTTGGATTAGCTGGCCACAAGATCGGGGGCTTAGCCTGGTGGTCAGAAGGAATGAGGCTCTAGAACAGGGATGGGGAACCTATGGCTCGTGGGCTGGCTTGCTTTGATCCAATCTGCAAGGCTCAGGGCACCCCTTCCCCTGCAGCGGAGAGCCAGCACTGGTGCTCTAACCACTCACCAACTCCCCGAATCTCGGCATCCCCTATGTGGCTGGAGCACAACATCAGCTCCCCGCTGCAGGGAGGGTGATTTACAGATCAAGGCAAGTTGTGGACTCGGCATCCCCTATGTGGCTGGAGCACCAACATCAGCTCCCCGCTGCAGGGTGGGAGATTTACAGATCAAGGCAAGTTGTGGGCCTCCTCCAGGCCACAGGCTCTGCCTGGCAGTAGGGGAGGAAGCAGCTTGGAACAGCAGCTCAGGGAAGCTCAGGAATCACGGTCAATGGGAGTGGTGCCCGCAAGTGAAGGGTGGCACAAAGCCATCTGCACTACCAACCCTTGGGAATGGCTCCAGGTAGGCAGCCCAATCCCCTGTCTCCTCCTGCCCAGACCCCACACTGACACCTCCAGCCCACCTGCACTATGAATGTAAGTGAGCAGTCGAGTAACCAATAAGCCTAGGCTTATCAGTTAGTCTAGTCAACTTCTTGACTACTTGCATTACCCCGTCCTTGCTGTCTCTGTATCAGATGCAAGCGATTAGCCAATGGGAGCAGGCACATCAGATGGAAGCAGGAGCCAATGCTGGGGGGAGCCAGCTTAAAAGCCGGTTCTCCCCAACACTGTCTCCGCAGTGCCACCAGACATCCCCTCCCCGTGCTGCTGCCTCTATCAGGCTGCCGCAAAGCAGCTGCTGCCCAGGCTCACTGTGGGCAGAGGCTGCTCTGGCAGCAGTCCATGTCTGTGGGGGTGCTGGACCCAGCGCAAGCCCGGCTCAGTCCTGGCTCATGCCAGGTCTGGGAGCTACCCCCACTGCAGCTCTGCAGTTTAAAATGTAGTTCTTGCTACAGCAGGGGTAGATCCTGGATCTGGCATAAGCCGGGACTGAGCAGTCGCAGCTCACGCCAGGTCCAGGACCATTGTGGCTCTGCATTTTAAATGTAGGAAGAGCCAGTAAAATGCAGAGTCGCAGCAGGGGTAGCTCCCAGACCTGGCATCAGCCAGGACTGAGCTGGGCTTGTTCAGTCCCAGCTTGCACCGAGTCCAGCAGCCCCTGTCCATGTTGAGGGCAGGGGTCCCAGTGAGAAGCTGGAACCCCCTGCACACATGGGCTGCCGCCGGAGGAGG